GTTTAATATGTAATTATTTTCTATCGATGAATTGATGTTCACCGAAATTGTTCAAAATTAATGAACGTATTGTTCATATCTGTTTTCTGTTTCAGAAATAGAAGAGAAAATCATTGAACTATATGGAAGGTGAATGCGGTTCACTGAAAATGCTGTGATGAATTCCTTTGCACTATGAATTATGATTTAATTCGTCGAAATTTCTCGAAGTTCTTATATATGCAAATGGTTAAATATATTTTCTTTTGATCGCTAAATCGTGGTTTTCTCAGATTTGAACTAGGAACACTGAACCAAGTTTAACAAAGTGCATTGTCTATGGATGAAGACTTCATGATAAACGAACTAGATGTATCATAACAGTATGTTTACTGCTTGATTGTAGTGGCCCAAAATAAATTCTAAAAATCGTATGCGTGTAACTGCCTTGTCGACCATGGAATGTAGGTGAAACGTTGGTCGATTTCTATGTAATTAGCCGTGTATTACAATCATCAGTGATGTTCCCCTAGAGCTGTAAAAACTTTATCCGTACACGTCGTTTTGATTTAAGTTCTGAGGTTAAGATCAGACAGTTAGTTTACATCGCCACTGCCATAGTGCACAAGTGGTTGGCAATACCGGAGGTTCAGGCCAAAATCGCAGCCTTTCTCGCTTTTAGAGGTCAGGTAGTTAGTTTTGTCGCATGAACGAATGAATGATTAATTTTCATATTTCATCTGGCTCATCCCCGTTGTTGATTGGTCACGATTTCATAAAATGTAAATCATTGATATTTATAGCTTGACAACGGCTTTGCAACGCTTGTACCCGCATAGAAATTTAACTGATAGGTAATATCAGGGGCGAAGTCAAATTATTGACACAGACGACCATCTGCAAATGTCATAAATTCCAACTCCTGAAACAGACTGCCCCCTGATGTATACCGACATCAATGGTCATGCAACTGTAATAAAAAATTCCCTGGTTTGGCTGACAGAGAGCAAACCACTATATTTAACGTGATCAACAGAATCATCCAATTGATGCAGCTGACCACTGTCCAGCTATGCAGATCCAGTGCGCCGACTGCAGGACGAAGCGCTGACACCAACCAGCAGTTTGAGCGGAAACGTCCCAATTCATGCCAAGAACGTCAGTCGACACTCGTCCTCTCTTTGTCCACTGTTCCACCGCCGGCCAAGGCATCAGACTATCAAGTCCAATCGTGTCGTACAGATGACCAACTTGTAGCGGTTCTTCAGGTCGACTTGGTAGCCTACAACTATTTTCCCATCTTCCATTAAAATGGCATTCCTCACAACCTTAAGCCAATCCACGGAATTCATACAAATGGCTCAGGGAATTCCTTAAGAAATTCTGATCACGGAAAAATATACCGAACAGGTTTCTGTTTCACTCCTAGTCCTGCACTTCAGTAGGAGATTAGATGAATCATTGACAATGAATTATATTCATTACAGCAGGTTCTGAAGCGCGTTCATTATCCTGGCACAAGGAAGTTTCTGCACAGAAGCCGATGATCGATTTGATAATCATACTGGATGTCCTCTTTACGCGAATCGCATAGTCGTCAATCAGTCATCTCCCCTGGCACGCTAATTAGTCAGAAATGGAGTACCATACCATACGAAGATCTGGTGGCAGAAGCAACCAGAGAATCAAATGGGAGACAGTGTTATTCATCCGTGAATACGGATTCACGACCTTGTTTTATTGGCATCTTGTGAAAATGATCTACAGTGCTGTTTGGAAAGGTTCGCATCCGAGTACGTGTGAATGCACCTAAAGCCAAAAGACTGGTGCTTTCTCGTTCTTCTGCCCTTTGCTCTCCTCA